TATTCAATTTGACATGTTTAACCCGGATCAAATCCGATGTTACCCGACCCATTTTTTTTAAAATAAAATTTAAAAAAAAAAAAAAAAAAAAAAAAAAAAAAAAAAACGTAAAGCGAAAATGCCAGAGACCACGTATTCCCATTTCTCCATTTCTCCTAAAATTAAAATCCCAAATCTCTCTACATCTCTAGCTCTTTGCGATTTGTGAAGTGCAGACTGCATAGGCCAAAGCGGAACTGTGAACTCTAACCAACGACCGACGCTACACCAACGACGGCGACCTACGGGCTACGGTTCGGCCTTCTCCTAGTCTCACTCAATACTTGGATTTCTCAGTTTCGAGCGACAGTTCGACATACGGCAGTACGACACTGGTCGGTGTCTCAGGCACCGGCATACGGCCTCCCGTCTCCGTTCGGCACTCTAGCATACAGGCTACGGCCTACGGCAATAACTCCTCTCCGGAGGTAAACATTATCTCACATTCACAGTAGTGATGCAGATTGGGCTGGAAATCTGGAAAATCGGAAAAGCACCTCTGGAGGATACTTCTTCGTAGGGAAGGTGTCTCATGGTTCAACAAGAAACAAAATTCCATATATTATCCACTGCTGAAGCTAATTATATTGCAACTGGAAGTTGTTGCACACAGTTACGGTAGATGAAACAGATGTTGAACGACTATGGATTCAAGTGCAGCATTATGGACTTACATTGTGATAACACTAGTGCAATCAACATAGCTAAAAACCCAGTTCAAGACTCTCGGGCTAAACATAAAGATATTTGACATCGTTTCATTCGAGAGTTGTAGAAAGTGGTGATTTTTTGTGGGGTCCAATATGAGTTGGAGGATAGAGAAGAATGAGAGATAGATCAGAGTGAATTTTGAACTAGATAGTGATTTTTTGTGGGCCTCAGGAGAGGAAAAAAAAAATGAAAGAAAGACCGCGCATGCTTTTTTGTGGTACATTTTAATTTTTAAAATAATAAGAAGTAATATAGTGGCAGGAGACATTGTAACAATATCTAATAATAATAATAATAATAATAATAATAATAATAATAATAATAATAATAATAATTTAATACCCATTTCGGTCACTCAACTATTAGATAATAATAGTTAATACATATTTTGGTCCCTCGACTTTAAATAAAATGACGTTTTTGCCCCTCTTTATAATGGTGGGTGGGTGGCAATTGTAACGGAGGACCAAATTGGATATGATTTTACAACTTAAAAGACTAAATTGAATACTTTTAATAGTTTGGGACTAAATTAAGCATTACCTAATAGTCTAGGGACCAAAATGGGTATTAACTCATTTCTATAAACTCTAGGGTTCATTTGCTAAAATTGTCTATATCTACGTGTTAAAAATTCTTTCTGGATATTATAGATCTCTGTGATTCTGATACTGAAGAAAAACCAGAAAAAAGATAATGTGAAAACGAAATCTTCCATTGTATCTGTAAAACAAGAACCGCTAGACACTGATAACATTGATTCTGATTATGTTCATTTTACTAATTCTGCTTTTGTGAAATTTGTTAAGTCTATACCTCCACCCACTGAAATCTTGAAAGAATCCTCATCAAGTCCATTCCCTCTGTCCAAAAATGAACTCCATTCTGTCCTGAATAATTTTCTCCAAATAAGACAACTCTCTAAATACAAATGTTCCTACCAACTATTCAGTTATGGGTGAAGTAGCGTGTTCTGTCCCCGACGTTAGGGATCCATCTCAACTTAACAAAAAACTCAAAAATCCATTAAACTTGGAGAGATAAGCTAGGAAATTCACATCTTATTCTCTTTCTTTTATTAAATCCATTTTCACAACATTAATTTTCACTTCCTAGCCTCTTATTTCAAGGTTCTTCAACTTTAAAAGAATTACAATAACACTCATATGACTTGTTAGGAACCCGGGTCTTGAATAAAGAACCTGAGACTTAGTTCGAACACTTGATCACCATCTTTAGGCATGTGAATCACACTATCCTAAAAGTTTTTTATATTCCTTATTATGCAATAAGGGTAATCAAACCATAACTTTAGAGATACAAGATGTCAAATTTCTGAAGTTGCTTTTGTAAGAAATTCACCAAGGGAGTAATTTGACATTTTTAGTATGTAAAATTTTTTTCGTAAACTCTGTAGTAGCTTATGTTAAGATCAGATGTATTTTGGTTTTGATGATGATGTTTCTAAACATAGAAATACTGTATCAAGACTATGATAGAATCCCCCTGTATTTCCTTATAATAGTTGAAACAGCAGACCAACAACAACAAGAACTGGCTGCGGTAGATCAGCAGATGAAATAGGAAAAATGAAGCGGCAGATCAATAGATGAATTAGGAAGATGGAACTGGCATATCAACATATGAAATAGCTCGATGCTAAGGAGGAAGAGAATTTGATCTAAAGGTAGCAAAGTAGCATACTGTTATGAACATATTGTACTTGTTTTAGATTTTGATGATACCAACTGATTAGGAATTTTAGTCCTTAATTGTTTTATTTTCTAGACATAGATTATTTATGCTCAAACTTTTGCACTAATTGAATGGTACCTCGAGGAGTAACATTTCAAGCTCATTAAGCTATCTGAATGTTAACTCGAGAGGTTAGTCTCAACCAACGATTTGAAGAGTAACCTGAGTAGTTAATTTTCGAATGGTTCAAGATGAAGAGGAGAGGAGAAGACTGAAGATTCAAAGAGTAGAAGACATCAAGATTGAAAGGTTGCAAAGGCAGAGAGGTGATCAAGTGTTCCTTTGTTTATATTGCGTCTCAAGATCCTTATATAAGACCCATGTTCCTAACAAATCAAACAACTGTTATTGAAATACTTTTTGAGTTGAAGAACCTTGAAATATGAGGTTGGGAACTGTAAAAACATGTTGCGAAAGTGGTTTCAATATTTTGGACACTTTTGGTCCTTCTGATTACTTTTCCGGTGAAAGCCTATTTTAGGCAAAGGTATTTTCGTCTCTTCAATTTATTATTATTTTTCCAATGAGTTAATTCCAACGGAGGTCACTTATCTTTGGTGGCATTTCCAAATTTAGTCCTAGACAATAGTTTTTGCCATTTAACACCTAGATTATCATATGTTGGACACTTTTAATCCTTGCGGTGACTTTTTTTATGAAACTCTATTTTAGGAAAGGTTATTTTTTGATAATAGAGAAGTGGCTTCTTTGTTTATTTCCTTTTTTTTTATTACTCTACAGCTATATTAGATGATTCACAAAATCATAAACTAAAACAATAGCGGTCAAATTGAAGTCAACCGAATAGTGACATCTTGAGCTTTCCAACTGCGTTGCAAAATGATTTCCCAGCACTCGAAGGTCCTCACGTATTCGGTATCGCCATTGATGAATGATGATTTAGGGCAAGGTTGAAGGATATGAAAACAAGAGTCGGGTGAAGGAGATGGTGCAATCCACGACTGAAGAGATGAAAATCAAGAAAAAAAATTAGCGCAGAAAACCAAAAATAAAAAAATTGAAAAGCTAAAAAAACTTCCCTTGCCTAAAATAGAGTTTCACATTAAAAAAAAAAAAAATTATCAAAATGACCAAAAGTGTCCAAAATATGATAGATTGGATTGTTAAATGTCAAAATCGATTGTCTATGATTAAATTTGGAATTGTCACCCATGAAAAGGGACCTCCGTTGGGATTAACTCATTGAAAATATAATTACAAAATTAGTTAATTAAAGAGACGAAAATACAATTGCCTAAAATAGGATTTCACTAAAAAAGTCATCGAAATGACCAAAAGTGTCTAAAATATGATAATCAGAAGTGTTAAATGACAAAAATAATAGTCTGAAACTAAATTTAAAATTACCACCAAAGATAAGGGATCTTTGCTGGAGTTAATAATAATAATAATAATAATAATAATAATAATAATAATAATAATAATTATTATTATTATTATTATTATTATTATTATTATTTTTATTATTATTATTATTTTATTATTATTATTATTATTATTATTATTATTATTATTATTATTATTATTATTATTATACGGAGTAATAATAAGAGATAATAGCTAAAATATTCCATTGATTATCTCGTAATTCTCAATTTGATCATCAACTGTCAATTCATCAAAAATAGCTCCTCGACCAAGCAAAAATTTACTCAATTTAATCCTAAGTATAAATAACGGAGGACTTAAATGAGCATAATTTTGCATAGTTAAGGGACCCTTTTGTGTAAATTAATAATCAAGGCCCAAATTGAGGATTATGACATAGTGAATTGAGATTTTTGTATTAACTCTAACAACAACAACAATTTTGTTGTTGTTGGCGGTGGTGTTCTTATTATAATATTTGGGGGCGGGGCGGGACGGGGTATTCTCGTCTCCACCCTCCATTTCTTGAAATTTTTTCATGTCTCTATCGATGTTGGAGCGGGAAATGGGAATCTCCATTGGGAATAGGAAAAATAATTGTTATCACTACTATTTGTGTCTAATTTAATACTTGAGCAATAAATGTCATTTATTACAATTCTATTATATTTTTTTGTTCATGAGTAAGGATATGAATTTTGATTTTTATATACTAATGTATATTGAGAAAGATTTTTCTCAACTCATATTTATACTCAAGTCTGTTCTTTTTCTTTTTTTCTTTTAAGAAATTGATATTTTATTATCAATAGAACAATACAAAACAAAACATATGAAAATGCATTAGGTTACTCCCAATGCATCAATTTAAATAGCCATTAGAAAATTACCACTGCACTAGACTATAGAATTAGAGATGTATGCAAAACTTCAAGGATTTTGGTAGTATCTAGGCCCCAGTCCCCCATAAGTTGGGCCAGTTTGCATACCCACCGTGTCTTGATAACTGGAAAACACATCCGCAGGAGCCACCACAATGCTTGTGCCAGGCCCAACAATAAAAGGTGAAGCAGTAGTAAGAGAATGAGCACCAGGGATAAAAGGAATCAGAGTTGGGCTGGAGCGAAATCTGATGATGCTATGGTTGAGGAATGTCTCATAATTTCCTCAGCCATGTTATCAATTTTAACCAAGTTGGTTGTTAAAACCCAATCCAAGTCGTTTTGATCTATGACACGCAAAGAATTAATTGTTCGTTCTCCAGTAATGATCTTATGCATCAATGCATCCATCTCCCTCTCCCTATTGTCTTTCTTCACCTTCAGAAGTCGAGTGTTCAACTTTTGAATCCTCTCTTCAACAAAGCTTTCAGGACTCATCATTCTTTGAGTTTGTTCCACATGTGGCAAGTTCATGAACCTAGTAATTCTTTGCTGAACCTCTCCAGCAGACGGCCATATGACTGGCCCTGACTCGAAAGAGATGTACATTATTATTGCAGCATCTACACCACAAAGGATAGTGAGCTCATTAAGCTTCTTGAGCATTTCATTCTTTCTTTTTTTGTAGGTTGCTTTTCTTTTGAATCCATTGACAATATATGCCAATCTTAATCTTCTAGCCATTGTTGGAAATGAAACAATAGGTAGAAGCGCTCAATATTTGTGTTTTTTTCTACTTTTCTTGTGTTGAACATTATGCAAATATGAAATGATTTATATAGGGTATGTGAGGCAAATGGGATAAATTTTGGACTGATGATTTTGATTATTTTCTTTTAAAGTAATGACACCCTGCCAAAGATTTTTTTTCCTAATAGTCATTATATGACTTATTATTGTGATTTTATTGGATTTTTTCGATTTAATTATTAAGTGAACTCTATATTAAGAGTAACGCAATGATCTCCTCTTAAATTTACTTCTTAATATTATCATCTTGACGTGTAATTACTTAATTTTTTTAGTTGGTTATTAAATGTATTCCTTTTATAACATGTGGAAATCTACTCATAAAAAAAACTAATAAATATAAATATTTTATTGCAGCATTAGGATTTCAACTTTAGAATACAAATTTATATATTTTTCCTTTTAATACATTCTTATTAGGTGGTACAATTCTTAGTTAGCAACGAAAATAAAGTATTTTCCTTAGGGGTGGACGATTCGGGATTCGGTTCGCTTTTTCGGTTTCGGTTTTAGTATTAAAAAAAATATCATTCATTTTAACATTATAGTTCAATTCGGATTGAAAATGTTTGATTTCGGTTCATAATTCGGTTTGGTTTAAGAACTATTTTCAACATTTCCTAATTTTCCATTCGCTAGTACTTTCCCCTTTTTAAATGGAAAGTATTAGTCGTCTGTCTGGAAGTCAACCTGAGGTGGAAGTCCAAGCTATAGAGACAAATACTTCTCAGCAGCCTTTACCTCCACCTGTTCCAAAGAAAAAGAAAGATGTTGAGACATGATCTCTTGTATGGGATCACTTTGAAAAAATCAAAAAAAAAAAATAAAAATGATGACATTGTTATCAAAGTCAAATGTTTATGTTGTGCAAAGTTGTTTTCATGTGAGTCCAAGAAACATGAGACTTCTTCTCTGAGAAATCACATCTTTAACTACCTTAAAAATCCTCACTCTAAGTATACAAGGCATTACATGCTCACATTCCAACATACTCCTTCTATTGGAACTGAAAGTAGTGAAGACACTGAGGGGGTGTTGGGAACCTGGGTGTTTGATCAAGACTTGATAAGGCGAGCCTTAGTTGAGATGATTATTGTGGATGAACTGCTTTTTAGGATTGTTGAGGGTCAGGGATTAAGGGAGTATGTTTTAGTTTGTTGTCCTAGGTTTAAAATCCCTTCAAGTTGGACTACCAGTAGGGACATTTTCAAGATATTTTATGATGAGAGGGTGAATTTGAAGAAGTTTTTTAGGAATAGCAGTCAAGGGGTTAGTATCACCATTGATACTTAGACCTCGATGAAGAGAATAAATTAATGTGCATAACTGCACATTTCATTGATAGTGAGTGGAAGCTCCAAAAGAAAATAACTTCATTTTTTCCAATCTATTCACATAAGGGGAAAAGTATTGCAAAGTCTTTAGAAAGTTGTCTATTGGACTGGGGTCTAAAATCTATTTTCAGTGTGACACTAGATAATGCTTCCAGCAATGATACTGCCCTAGGATTTTTGAAGAAGAAAATGTTGTCTTGGGGTTGTACTACTATTAAGTTTAAGTATTTGAACATGAGATGCATTGCTCACATCATTAACTTGGTGGTACAAGATGGGTTGAAAGATTGTGACGCAATTGTCAAGAAAGTGATGGATTCTGTTAGGTTTGTGAAAAACTCCCTTGCTATGCTACAAAAGTTTAGGGACCTAGCTGATTTAATTAGGGTGAGGCTAGAAATTCTTTGTGTCTTGATGTTCCTACAAGGTGGAACTCCACTTATATGATGCTTCATACTGAATTGTTATTTCAGAAAGTATTTGAAGTGTATGAAGATCATGACATTTCTTTTAAAGCTGATTTGGGTGAAAATGTACCTGACTTCATGGGTTGGGATTTTGTTGCTTCTTTGGTTAAAATTCTGAAATCTTTTTATGAAATAACTATTAGGATATCTGGTTCACTATATGTGACTTCTAATACCTTTTTCTCTGAGGTTTTTGATATGCCATGCTTGTTAAATAATTTATGGATGTAATTTAGTAGGATGGAAAGGGTAAACGGAGATGGAATCCTCGAGTGTGGATCTCACAAGGATGACAAATTGGAGTAGGTGGAGCGCAAGACAATCATAGACATTAGACAATGTATTCATAAGAGTTAACTAGGTAGAAGCAAGGTGTAGGAAAGCATGTATTCAAAGGTAGAGAGCAATAATGTAAAGATAGTAAGCAAATATGTAAAACGGGAAATTGGATGGAAAGCACTTGATCTTATGCATTCAATGGCCTAAGGTAGACAAGAGGTAGTGCAATGCAAGACTAACTCTAGGGAGATCACGACACAATCACTAAGTCACGTAGGACTTAGACTCTTAGGTCCTAAGTCGGCTAAGGCATTTTGTCAAACACGTTGTTTACCCTCTCCTCCCGGGTCTTGCCCTCTCGGATCGAAGGACGGGGAAATCAAATGAGTAAGATTACATGAAAGCACAATCTCTTGCTACTTCCACTCTCTATACTCCTCTCCTATTGGGATCCTACAATGAAGAGAGAATCTATACACAACTCATTCACAACAAAAGCATTCTAGGTCTAGCATTACACAACATCTCATCAATTCATCAATAAAAAGCAAGAATGTATAATCAAGGCAATCCAATCCAATTCATAGAAGATCTAGCCAAACATCATTGATCTATATTGAAATACAAAAGCAATTGAGAAATCAATGGAGGAAATTAGATTTAATGAAGTTACCTACTCAAGAGCAATTGCAATCAATCATCAATTGAAAAAGACAATCCAAGATTACAAGAGAAGTGTCAATTCCTCCTACAATCCTTGAAGATAGCTTGATCTAGAAGATGATCTAACCTAGAGAGAGAATATCTAATCTAAAAAGCTCTTGGAAAGATGGAATGAAAAGTAGATAGTCAATCACGCCACAAGCATTTGCTTAAAATGCTTATTCTCCGCCCATATCTCAATCCACGAGCTCCCATTTTCGTGCATCCAATCAGGGAACATTCTATTCCGAATCCACGAACCCTCCACGATCGTGGAGCCTTCGTGGATGCGGCACAGTCCGTATTAGCCTTCTTGGTCTTCATGAAAGTTGTAGCCCTTGTTTTTTTATTTCTGCTGGAGGGGGGAGACCCAAAACAAGTTACACAGTATAGTTAGTTCCTTAACAAGGCATTTCTTGGTCTTCATGAAAGTTGTAGCCCTTATTTTTTTATTTCTGCTGGAGGGGGTAGACCCAAAACAAGTTACACAGTATAGTCAGTTCCTTAACAAGGCAAATCTCCAGGCTGGAAAACCATCACAATCATCATCTAACAGGCTTCTAATCTCATCCGGTGGAGAACTAAGATTGTACAATCCTCTTGGGAGATTTGTCGAGGATGTAGCTAGAGCATCGACAGCCTGGTTTTGCTCACGATTTACTAGCGAAACACCCCATTCATCAGCTCTTCGAAGGATAATCTTGCATCTTGTGATGATATTCCACACTGAAATGTTGGCCGGGGTATTGCCATTAAAACCATCCACGACTTCACTGGAATCACTCTCAACTATTATTCTTGTGAAACCCTTTGCTAGAGCTAGTTGACCCCTTTGATAACAGCTAACGCCTCAGCAACCAGAGGAGGGCAAGTACCAATATTGAATACAAAACCCCCTCTCCACAACCTTGTGCTATCTCTCAATACCCCTCTGCAACCTGCCTTACCTGAAGCTAATTCAACTAAGCCATCAACGTTAACTTTCACACAGTCATCCGGGGGTCTAGCCCACCTAAGCAGCCTCCACTGTGGTGTATCCTCATGCGACAGTAGCCCTCTTGCTTTAGCAAAGGCGTGACTAACTTCCTTAGACTCGGACTTGATCCAAGCTACACGGGTAGTCAAGGGTAACACTATGTTATTGAAAATGGCTTCGTTGCGCCACTTCCATAGCCACCAACATGTAAGAGCAAACAATGTACTACTACTCTGGGGCAATCTCCCGTTACCCTTTTCTGTAATACCTTTGTCCAGCCATTGCAGAAACAAGAGTGGGTCGGAATCTGCATGAGAGACAGGAGCAGTAGTTCTCAAAATTTCGTCCGCCATAGGGCACCGACGAAGGACGTGTTCCGTGTCTTCAACTGAATCACAAAACCAACATTTATCACATTCTGAAAGTCCTCGCCAAACTCTATTGCTATTCGTCATTATCTTCCCGTGCCTTGCTAACCACAATAAAGAGTAGACCTGATTAGGGACCTTCAACTTCCAGAGGTTATTCCATTTGGCAGCCTCGATTGAGCTAACATGACCTGAAGCTAACTCGTACATAGACGAAACTGAGAATCTACCATCTCCCTAGCCCAACCAACAAAATCCCTCAAGTCTAGTGTTTCGGTGATGAAGATAGCTGCAATTTCACTGAGAGTATAAGTCGGAAGTAGCCCCTCTATTCTATTCCAGATCCAGCCTGTGCTAGAGTCCCAATAATTTGAAACTAAGTTATACATATCAGCAGGGGAAATGGGCACCAGAGCAATTTCTATCAAAGGAGTCTCATCCACCCAAATATCCAACCAAAAGAATGTATTAATACCATTCCTAACAAATTTTTAGTACCCTTCTGCAGAACCGGTACAGCTTTAATAATGCCCTTCCAAGCATTGGACATGTTTGCTTTTGGAATCCATGAAGAAAAGTTCAAAGGCGAAGCTACATACTTGGCTTTAAAGAGGTGAATCCAGAGTGCATCTTCATTGTGTGCTAGTCTCCAGCCTAATTTTTCCATGAACGCCTCATTCATTAGGTCCAATCTTCGAATTCCAAGCTCCCCGTTGGCTTTATCTTTTGTCATGGTGCTCCAATTAATAAGGTGGCAGTTTCTTGAGTCCTTAGTACTGCCCCATAGAAATTTCCGGATCAAGCTTTCAATAGAAGAAGTCACTCAAACAGGTAATAGGGTTGACTGCATTGTATAATAGGGAATAGAAAACAACACCAACTTGGCTAGAATCTGCCTGCCTGCAAGAGATAGAGTTCGGGTTCTCCAGCCAGCAAGTTTGGTTTGGACTCTTTCCATGATACCTGCAAAACAATCGTTCTTCAATCTCCCATGAATAGAAGGCACTCCTAAATATCTTCCCAAGTCTGAAACTTTAGTGATTCCAATCAAGCTCTCTATTTCCTGCTGCAAATCGGTTGGTATGTTCTTGGAAAAAAAGATAAAGGATTTCTGAAGGTTGAATCTTTGTCTAGAGCTGCTGCAAAATCTCTTTATGCATGTCTTCATGATCCTAGCTTGTTGTATTGATGATTCCCCAAAGAGGACCATGTGATCTATAAAAAACAAATGGGTGATATGAGGCCCTCGACTATTTATCTTAAAACCTTTCCACTGACCCTCATTAACTAATTTCTCAATGAGATGACTTAATATTTCTATACATAAAACAAAAAGGAGAGGGGATAAGGGGTCTCCCTGTCTAATCCCGCGTTCCGGCTTAAACCACTTCGACTGATGCCCACTCCATGTTGTTGCCAATCTTGATGTGGACACACAAGCTAGAATATTCCGTCTCCATGAACTATTAAAGCCAATATCGCATAAAGTATCTTCAATGAAACTCAAGCATAGACGATCAAAAGCTTTCTCAAGATCAATCTTCATGATCATCCATCCCTTAGCTACTTTTTTTGCATCTCATGGAATTCAAAACTTCTTAAAAGACTAGTATGTTATCAGTGATCTAACGACCTGGCACAAAACTAGTTTGGTGCGGGTCGATCAACCTCCTAGAAGCCTCCTTGAGTCTAGTTGCCATTGTCTTCGTTAGAATCTTATAAGCAACGTTACACAATCCTATGGGGCGAAGCTGCTTTACGGCATCCAGGGAAGGCACCTTAGGAATTAGTGTGATAATCGTGTCGTTGCACCCCTCCGGGAGATCACCACTATCAAAAAACTCATTGGCGAAATTTATAAGAGAGTCTCCTACTATAGACCAAGTTGTATCCCTTTAAGTTGTCGTTCCAATGTCACTTGAATCACCTCATTTGGACACTCCTAGCTCAAGATATGCTCCAACTACCGAACTATCGCCGGAATGCCCTCCTTTAAGCTCAAACCCTTCACAATACTAAAGTGTACATACTAATAGGGCATTTGAAACACATTAACACATTTCATAGCATTTACATCATAAATAATCCACAAAGGACTCCAAGTAAACACAACACAATCCCTTAATGACCCATAAAAGATGGTATCATTGGCACTTATCACAAGTTTCCACACTTTATTATTGTTTGTCCTCAAGCAAGCTATCAATTCAATCCAAGGACAATAAGTGCCAAAGGTACTTCATGAAACCTTAATCAATCAAATGGTCAATCAAGAAGAATGTGTGAGACAACGGAGGGGGTGAAATCCCTCATACCAAGACTCAAGGGAACACACCATTTCGCCAAGCATGCAAACAATTTGGATTCACCTCCTATTTTCCAAGGGTCTTCAAGCCAAGCCCACTAGTGGGAACGATTGGCACACCACAACCAAGCATCCTCTAAATACGCCAAAGCCCAACGCATAAAACTAAAGTGAGGGTACGGCATGGGCCCCTCCCCGCCAATGGCTTATGCGGGCACTCTTTTCTTCTCAACCCCCTAGGATAACATCATCGGGCGACCCGACTTCATGTGGAGCTCCACGCTTTTTCGAAGACGGTGCAATGGGTGCCCGAATCCTAGCGGGATGGCACACCTCCTCTCTTGTTTTCTCGTCTCCTAGGATAACGTTGTTGGAGCGACCCGACTTCATGTAGAGCTCTATGATTTTTCGAAGGTCGGTGTAATGGGTGCCCCAAATCCTAACGAGACGACTCTCCTCGGATCATACCTCTCATAGGGTGGCCATTCTTTTGTCTTAGCCTTTTTATTTTCATTCTCCATAACTACCCATCATACCTTTTACTAAGAAAACGGGGTTCACACTCAAGCTCACCAAAAGTTCACCTTTTGCCCCATGCCTTACTAAGATTTGTTCAATTCCGGGCTTCGCTTTCAATTATCTTTCTAAAGCTGAGGGGTACACACTCCCACTTCGAGAGATCCTTGACTAAGGTCCAAGCAAAATAAGAGGTGAATAACATGTAAGCATACCAAGATATAAACCTAATTGGTTTCTAAGCAATTCCTCACTTGGTGTAAAGAAGCAATTTCCAAAGGATATTCCCCAAATTAAACATTTTTGGCACATCACTGACACACTTCCAAGATAACATGAACAATGACGCACTCTCCATCATCACACACAATCATCAATCAAGCACCATTCAACCAATTTAAATTTCAAACATTAAGCACAAGGTGCGTCCTTTCCACATTTTAGAACAAACATCGTCCTCGATGTTACTTTGAGGACTAGGCGGACAAAGGAGCGCGGGTCAAACAAAGTGAAAGTCCCTTTCCACACTTTAAAAGTGTTGCCAGGACTTGGGGTGTGACAACAAAAGACCTTTGTGAATGAAATATGTGCGCTAGTGAATGTGTCCAAATCCCTTTTTCCACACTTTAGGATAAAAACCGGTGCATATAAAAAGATAAGGGATAGAAATGATAAACCCTTTGTAGAGTATATCCCTTATTGAGCAATGTTGCATCCAAAAGTCTTTGCCCCAACAACTTCATCTCAACAACTCCAAGGAAACTTTTCTACGCGGCAATAGCTCTGCGGGGCTTTACGCTCTACCAGTCTCTAATCCACCACCTTCCGCTTTCCTTTCAACTCGTGCCACTGCATCAGTTTGGCACAATCGTCTGGGTCATCCTCATCATCGTGTTCTTAGTCGTATTCTTCAATCTTGTTCGGTTAGTGGGTCTAGTAGTAATATTCGTTGTCATTCTAGTTTGTGTAATGCGTGTCAATTGGGTAAATCTTCTCGTTTCCCCTTGGCACGTGTTGAGTCGTCTAGTTTGAATATTCTTGATTTAATATACATAGATATTTGGGGTTCAACTCCTCTTTTATCCACAAATGGCTATCGTTACTTTGTCATTTTTGTGGTAGATTACTCTCGTTACACTTGATACTTCCCAATGAAATTAAAATCTAACCTGTATTCAATTTTTGATAAGTTTCGTACTCTTGTTAAGCGGTCCTTTAATCGCAAAATTATATCCATTCAGTATGATCTAGGTGCGAAATACAAAAAATTACACTCACAGTTTGTTCAATTATGAATTCTTCACAAACAGTCATGTGCATATACTCATGAATAGAACAGTCGTGTTGAAAGAAAACAAAGGCACATTGTCGAAACCAGTCTAGCACTCATGGCTCATGCGTCTGTTCGGTCTAAATTCTGGGATTTTGCCTTTGAGACTGTTGTGTATTTAATCAATAGAATGCCCTCTTCTACATTAAATAAATCCAGTCTTCATCTTATGTTACATAAATCTCCTCCGTTCTATTCTTTTCTTTGTGCCTTTGGTTGCCTGTGTTACCCTCATTTACAGCCATACAATCGTCATAAAATGTCCGACAGGTCTTCTCCTTGTGTTTTCTTAGGTTATCCGGACTCTTTTAGGGGATATAGGTGCATGGACTTACAGACTAACAAGATTTATGTGTGTAGACATGTCAGATTTGATGAAGGAGTTTTCCCTTTTGTTACTAAATCTTCTTTGCAGGCAGCTCCAACCGCCAGAAGTGAACTATAGGCGGAGTCCGTACTACACGCTGGCGTTCCCACTGTTTCGGCAAAAACAATACAGACTGCTCCGTCCGTACCAGCAGCTACTGCAGCCCGTCCACGTGGCCGACCACGTGGCGGGTCAACACGGCCCAACGTCCAAACGCATGCCATGGATACCCGAAGTCGGTCTCAGGCTCCTCCTACGGTTCTAACTGCCCAGGTTTGTCCTACTGAGCCAACTTGCTACACACAGGCAGCTAAGTATCCTGAGTGACGTGAGGCAATGGATCAGGAATTTAGTGCTCTTCTTCAAAATCAAACTTGGTGTCCTGTTCCCTCTACGAATCATATGAATGTTATTGGTTGTAAATGGGTCTTTCGCACAAAACAAAAGGTTGATGGTACCATTGAGAGATATAAGGCCATGTTAGTAGCAAAAGGGTTTAATCAGGTTCTAGTGCAAGATTTCTTTGATATATTTAGTCCAGTGGTAAAACTCACGACTATCATGCTTTTACTATCTTTGGCTTTATCCTCCGGTTGGGTTATTAGGCAGCTTGGTGTCCATAATGCCTTTTTTGAATGGTAATCTGTCTGAAACTATATACATGAAACAGCCCCAGGGTTACATTGATGTTCAACTTCCTCACCATGTCTGTTTGTTAAAACGTTTTATGTATGGATTAAAACAGGCTCCCAGAGCTTGGTTTAATCATCTACACACGTTTTTACTATCTGTTGGGTTCCAAGCATAAAAAACGGACGTTTCATTGTTTTATTATTCACATGATTCTGCTCATGTGTATCTTTTGTTGTATGCGGATGATATACTTGTGATGGGGAGTGATCAGAACCTTGTGAATCATTTACTATCTAAACTATCTAGTACTTTCAAGATTAGAGATCTTGGTGAACCTGGTTTTTTCCTTGCTATTGAAACTGTCAAATGTGATGATGGCATTTTACTCTCTCAACAAAGATATATGAATGACATTTTAAAACGTGTTGGGATGACAGAATGCAAGCCTCTATCTACTCCTATTCCTGTTTCGAAATCTGTTCATTCTGTGCAGATTTATATGATGATCCTACGCAGTACAGGAGTCTGGCTAGGGCACTACAGTATCTAAGAATAACACGGCCTGATCTTTCCTTTGTTGTCAATCAACTATGCTAACATATGCATGCTCCTACAGTTTCACATTGGGAACAACTTAAACGGGTTCTGAGGTATGTTAAAGGAACTCTTTCGTTTGGCTTACGTATACGAAAATCAGTGTCAAAAGATCTACATGCTTTTTCTGATTCTGATTGGGCTAGCTGTCCTGAAGATTGTAAGTCTACTAGTAGTTATATTGTTTTTCTTGGGTCAAATCTTGTATCTTGGGTTTGCAAGAAACAAAGAACTGTTGCTAGATCTTCAGCAGATGTGTGTGTTGAAGTGATATGGATTATTTCGCTACTGCATGAGATCAAAGTGTAAGCTATTCCTATTCCTAAGTTGTGGTGTGACAATCTAGGTGCTACATATATGTGTGCAAATCTCATCTTTCATGCCCACACCAAACATGTGGAGATTGATTATCACTTTGTTAGAGATAGAGTTGCTTTCGGAGATAATTCAAGTCAACTTTATTTCAACCAATGATCAACTTGCAGACATCTTCATCAAAGCTCTACCTGGTCTTAGATTTTCTTTTCTTAGAGACAAGCTACAGGTTACTAGCCTACCCTGTGCTTAAGAGGGAGTATTAGGACTCTATGTATTTGAATTAGATTATAACTCACTATCATAGTCTCCCAGTAATTCTCTCTTGTATATATTCCCTCAATCTGTATCTTTGTAATTAAGTTCATTCAATACAATTCTACCCGTTCTTATCCAGAACACTCGTACCGCTAACCTGTTGTAATTTTAGTGTATCTTGTATCAGTCTTACATACAGAATCATACAAAGAGAAGGAATGGGAAGAGAAAACACAGAAGATGCAAAAACTGCTCATCCCATATTTCATTCATAACTATTGTACATAGGATGAGAATAGTGATCGTTCATTCAGTTGGAAAATGATTACAATCGTAATACTAAAACAGATAAGTTTACGTAAACTACTCCTATACAATAGGCTAGCCACAATACTACCATATTGACTTATTCTAATGTTACAGGAATAACAATATTAATAATAACATTAATAACATGACTAACACTCCCCCTCAAGCACAAGGAGGGTGCATAACCACATTGAGCTTGTCCCGTAGAGTAGTGAACCGAGGGCCGGGTAGCGGCTTGGTGAAGATATCCGCTAGTTGATCTTTAGTTGACACAAAGTTGACTGTCATTTCTCCCGACGCAACTTTGTCTCGGACAAAGTGATAGTCAATCTCCACATGTTTGGTCCTGGCGTGAAAAACTGGGTTGGCACAAAGATAGGTAGTCCCGAGATTATCACACCAGAGAGTAGACGGCCCACCATTATGAAGTCCCAGCTCACGCAGCAGCGATACAACCCACGTGACCTCGGCCGAGACATCCGCTAGAGCCTTGTATTCAGCTTCAGTGGAGGAGCGATCAACAGTGCGTTGTTTCCTGGATAGCCATGAAATGAGATTGGCCCCAAGAAACACAGCATATCCACTAGTACTCTTCCTGTCAACCGGACAACCGGCCCAGTCAGAATCCGAAAAAGCATGAATAGCAGACGAGGTAGAGACTGTCAGCCGGAGACCGTAGGTCAGAGTCCCCTTGATGTACCGCAACACTCGCTTTAATAGACCCCAATGATCAACAGTCGGAGAGTGCATGAATTGACACAGCTGGTTGACAACGTAAGACAAGTCTGGCCATGTAATCGTCAAGTACTGAAGTGCCCCAACTATACGACGGTATTGAGTTGGGTTGTCAAATGACTTCTGAGTGGGTGAGACAGCCTGAGTGACCGCAGCGGGTATAGAAAGCGGCTTGCATTCGGTCATACCGGCACGGATCAGTATGTCATTCATGTAACGGCGGTTGCGAGAGCATCATCCCAGTGTCAAGTTTGACGGTCTCAATGCCAAGAAAGAACCCGGGAGTACCGAGATCCCGAATTTTGAAGGTGTCTGATAAGCGGCTAAGGAGGGTAGCGATCAACGGTGCGTCATTACCCATCATGATAATATCATCTACATACACCAGCAGGAAGACCCGAGATGTGCCCGTTGAGTAATGAAAAAGCGAGACATCCGTTTTAGATGGAAGAAAACCTGCAGAGAGTAAATAATCATGCAGCCTTTTGAACCACGCCCGAGGGGCCTGTTTCAGGCCATATAAGGAGCGTTGAAGATGACACACATGATCCGGATGTGTCGGGTCTTCATAACCTGGGGGTTGTTTCATGTAAACAGTCTCAGCTAAGTGCCCATTGAGAAAGACATTGTGTACATCCAGCTGGCGCAATGTCCACTGATAAGACACAGCAAGAGAAAATAACAGGCGCACAGTAGTTGGTTTGACAACTGGGCTAAAAGTGTCGAAGTAGTCCAGATGAGAATAGTGATCATTCATTCAGTTGGAAAAAGATTACAATTGTAATACTAAAACAGATGAGTTTACGTAAACTACTCCTATACAATAGGCTAGCCACAATACTACCCTATTGACTTATTCTAATGTTACAGGAATAACAATATTAATAATAACATTAATAACATGACTAACACATAGGATATTGACCAATAATATATATTTACAAGAGGGATAAAATTGAAAAGCAAATATACAATGCAGAAAATAACCATTTACTCTGGAGTGGTAATAGAAAATTTGGCAAATTGAAAACGGAATATATACCAGCATTAATTAATTATTTTTTTTGAATTTTTTTATTTTCGATTGAATGTTAAAAAATTTATTATTTTTTTATTTGGTTGAAAATTAAGAAATTTTATTTTTTCTGTTTGGATATTTTTTTATAATAATTGATAGTGGAGATGGTAGTGGTTGTGATAATGTTGATGGTAGTGGTGGTGTTAATAGCAGTATTATTTTTTTATTTGGTTGAAAATTAAGAAATTTTATTTTTTCTGTTTGGATATTTTTTTATAATAATTGATAGTGGAGATGGTAGTGGTTGTGATAATGTTGATGGTAGTGGTGGTGTTAATAGCAGTGATGATGATGATTATTGGTGGAAGTATTGGTGGTAGTGGGGTGGCAATAATAATAGTGGTAGTAATTGTAGTGTTGGTGGCAATTGTGTGATAATTATGGTGGTAGTAGTGGTGTTGGTGATAATAATAATAATAATAATAATAATAATAATAATAATAATAATAATAATAATAATAATAATAATAATAATAATAATAATAATAATAATAATAATAATAATTCAAAAATTAACTTTAAAAAAATAGAAAGAGAAAGAAGAAAGAGTGACGGAAAATAAGAAATTCAAAAAATGTCTTCCAACTAAAAAATACGAAAACATTTTTCGCCAAACAAGACTTTTTCATCGACCAAAAATAAATATTTTCCTTTTGACTTCCGAAAATCATTTATTAGATTTCCAAACGGACCCTAAGAGAATGGCTTAGTCTCTCACCCAACAGAACATAAGACCCAAACTTTAAAATCACAATATAACAAAAATGAGGAAAAATAAAAATCCACAATGAAAATCTAATTTTACCAGTAGAGACAGAAAAGAGGTGCAATATCTGATGATCTAATGAGAAGTAGAGAAAGGAAAAAGGTGCAACATCTGATTCAGAGAATACATGTTCAAACACAGGTAATATAATGACAGTTCAAAACTAAAAATACAATACCATCTGGAAAAAAAGAGTGATTACTACTCTTAATCTTCGTCCTCTGCATCATTCTCAGCAATGTTGAAGTACCTTAGTTCATACACACTTCTATCCTTGTTTGAAGCAATAACACGGAGCCAGTCACGCACATTGTTCTTCTTTAGGTATTTCTTCGTCAAGTATTTCAAATACCTGTCAAATTGCACAAACAATCAAAACAATGATGAAGAGACAATTAGAAAAAGGTGATAAGTAAGCACAATATGAAAAGCTAGAGGATTCTTTCACACAACAAGCAGTGTTTACTTCATAATCTCTGTGCTGCATTTTCAGTCATTTCTCCATTTCTCCGGGAAAAATAAGGGTTAGAAATGATGTTGCAAGGGAATGATGTGTGGAACCATTTCTCCAAATTTGGAGAATTAGTTAAATGGATTCTCCAAATTAGTTAAATTCTAGAAAAATGGAGAGAACAATTCTCCATTTTTCAATTTGGAAAAATGGTTTTAGTGAACAAGTTTTCCTTCTTCAGTTTGTCATTTCTCCAATTTTTTTCTAGAAAAAATGACTCATTTCTCCCGTTACTAAAACCACCCTTATATATCTTTCAGACAAGAGTTACTGTCTCAAGCCTACTCCAAATCAAAGAGTTAAAGAGTTAATAGGTTTCATTTATGTGACTACGTAGAAGATTACCACAACAAATACCCTTTAGGACGCAAAGTATAGACACCACTATTGCTATTGTAATGGATCATTCAGTAGTTAAGAATGGATCCACCAAATTATTCATACATTACTGCAATCATATTATGCATATGGATGGAAGTGACAGTGCAATCATAATAAACCTTCCAGCACCAAATATGACCAACTTACTAACCATACAAGGATGCGACCACTTAAACATCAGAAGGTAACTTATCCAACAGAAAGGAAAAAATAATAATTGTATACCAATGTCAAAAAAACAAAAAACAAAAAACCCTAAACATCAGTGGAAACAGCCATACAGGATTTTACTTTAAGCATTAACTAATACAAATAATGCTTAAACCTAACAAAATCTAATTTTGAAGCAAACTTAGAGCTCAATATAATAAAAAGCACAACAATTTCATAATCAAGACTATAGAGAGTGAGAGAGAAAGAGATGGAAAATTGAAAGTACCTCTTGGAAAAGTTGGAATCAGAGGTGACGGTGATCTTTGTCTTGTCGCGGGTGACGGTGACAGAGTCGCCGAGGGCTCCGGCCTTGCCGCCGACCTTGATGCGCTCCTGCAGGAACTTCTCCAGCGATGCAATGTCCATGATCTTGTCATCGACTGGCTTCGAGCAGTCGATGACGAACGTTGCGCCCTTCTTCTTCCCTCCCTTCACGACCCCACTGCTCCCTTTGCTCATCTTGACTCTTTGCCTGCAAGCATTTCCGCCAACATATTCATATACACACGCAAGCAGAAATCATAATGAACACACACAAACAACACAAAGAGATTACGAGAAGGAGGAGAGAGAACCTGAACAAAGTGATTGAAGTCGGCTGCGATGGATGCTGGGAATGTGAGGAAGAGAAAAACGGTAGGGTTTAATGCCATTATTATGAAGTTTGGGCTATTGGACCTCTTCTGAGCCTTCTATTATTGAATGGCCCAGCAGTAATCTATTCCATTTAGCCCAGAGGAAACAGCTAAAATTGAATAAATTTATTTGTCATCTCTTTAGGCAAATTATACCACCAAAGTCTATTAACCATTTCTGTACCTGCAAACAAATTGAAGGCACATCACACGATAATTATATACACATAATATGATAATTATAGACACATAAATTGTTAACTGCAGGTATATAATATATTAACTACATACACAGCATCATAACCAACATCTTATGTGATTGCAGTTAACATATTGTGTACCTACAATTAACAATTTATGTGTTTGTGATTATCATGTTATGTGCCTTCAATTTATTTATAGGTACAAAAACTATTAACTGTTAGTACAAAATATGTTAACTACAGACATAATCTTTTGACATGATTCACAATGCAATATAAACCCCCGTCCATGGTATAACAATTGAACTCTTTATTACTCAATTACTATCTTATAATTTATGAAAAATAACATTTTTACTCACACTATAAATTTACTATCTCAATTATCAATTTTTATATCATGGATCATGGTTCATATTGCAATGTGAATCATAGTTTAAAAATTATGCATCTGCAGTTAACAATTTTTGTACTTGTAAACAAATTGGAGGTACATAACATGATAACTACAAACACATAAATTATTAACTGCAAACACATAAAATGTTTGTTAATATATGTGTATGCAGTTAACATATTTTATACCTGCAATTAACAATTTATGTGTCTCTAGTTATTATGTTATGTGTATGTAATAACTATATGATGTGCCTTCAATTTGTTTATATGTACAAAAACAATTAACTACAAAATGTGTCAACTGCATGTACAGAATCTAATGGTTATTTTTTGACTAGAATCCACAATGCGAGGTAGACCCTAGTCCATGGTATAATTTTTTATCTGTGGCATTATGGCTTCGTTAAAAACCTTAAATTTGTCACTTAAAAAAAATCTATATCACCAAAAATTGAGGAATTAAATCTATATCTATATATCTATCTATCTATCTATATATATATATATATATATATATATATATATATATATATATATATATATATATATATATATATATTATATATAAAAGTAAAATCCTCCTATTTCATTTTCCCGCTCAAACTATTGTAGTCAAATTAATTAAATATTTTATATTTTATTGGTCAAATACTTAATAAAGCTTATTTGGTAAGCAAATGAAAAATAGAAATTTAGTAATATCAATATTATGAATTAATTAGGAATATTAATATAATGAATTGATTAGGAATATCAATATAATGAATTGATTAGGGCAATACCTTAAATAAATAAATACACTTTCTTTTAAAAAAAATTTACAAATTTTTAATTATCATATTTTTCACCTATAAATACAATGAGTTGATGACTACAAAAATTATAAGTCTTCATTTTATATTGCATCCCTTTTTTTTTCCACTAGGTCTTCAGCCTTGATCATTCAGTTTAGCCGCGTTTCGAAATTAACGGTAGGTTTAGCATCCAAGTAGTTTGATTGGATTAGATACAATACGTTTTTCATAGTTGTAATGTCCAAATTTAATACCTTTTTTCAGCGAAAAGTTATTCATATCATATGCCTAGATTATGATTATTTATTTTGAACATTTCTACGGTTACTCCAAGTCCATTTTATATATTGATTTTTTGCTTCTATTGAAGTTTCATTATCATTGATGAAAGGCAACCTCATGTGAATCTCGCTTTGAGTGGTGCCTACTCCTGCCCGTTTAAAGGGATGATGAGTGCTGACTCCTCTAATCTCTCTCTTCATTTTTTTTTTTTTTGCTATACTGTCATTGGTGAAGAATTTAAAGTGCCACACAATAAAATGTGTGATTCACGGGTGATTGGAGAATGGGGAGTGGTTAAGTGTTTCTGTTGTAATATACACGACAAGATATAGCAAGAATCGCCTTTAATACACCAATTGACTATTATTATATTCTTCTTAGTTTTTTCCGTTGATTATTGAAATAATCGGACTTTTGAAGTTCTGATTTGTTAAGTTGTTTTATTCTCATGGTACCGATTTTGACCATTATGAAGTCCATGCTCAATTCCTCATTGTATAGGTCAAAAGTATATTTATTTTTTGGCGTAATTATGGAATCGCCATAATTACTCCGTAATAATAATAATAATAATATATAATGATAATAATAATAATAATAATAATAATAATAATAATAATAATAATAATAATAATAATAATAATAATTGGTAATATTATTGTTCAATATAATATTTAAAAAAAACTAATTTTAATTGGTAATCTATATTTTATATTAATCTATATTTATATTCTATATTAATTAATAAAAACAAATCCTCCTTTACAAGTTCCCGTCTAAACAATTAATAATAATATGAAAAAATGAAAAAGAATGGAAGGAAGCCGTACGCCCAAACAATTAGTAATAATATTGGGAAAAAAATTAATAATAATATAGAAATATAGAAAATAATGTAAGGAAATATTAGTCATGTGAATGTTTTCTACACTCTGAAAAATGGAAAAGAATCAATAAGCAGTATAAGGAAAATAATCATTAAGATATTTTACTATTAATCTTTTACGGAAGATTTTGCGTAAAAAAAATAGAATAGAATTGGTTATTAATAATTTAGCCTTATTTTATTATTAATCTTTAAGAAAAATTCTGCGTAAAAAAAAATGTAATAGAATCGGTTATTAGTAAGTTAGCTTTATTTTACTATTAATCTTTAAGGAAGATTTTGCTTTAAAAAATGTAATAGAATCAGTTATTAATAATTTAGCTTTATTTTACTATTAATCTTTAAGGAAGATTTTGTTAAAAAATAAAATAGAATTAATTATTAATAATTAAAATTAAAATTAAAGTACATATATTTTCCTATCGGTAATACAATTTTACTTATTGTTTTACAAAATCTTCAAATAATAATTGGTAATATTACTGTTCAATTATAATAAAATTTTTAATTTTAATTGGTAATCTATATTCTATATTAATTAATAAAAACAATATCCTCCTTTACAAGTTCCCGCCTAAACAATTAATAATAATATGAAAAATGGAAATGAATGTAAGAAAGTCGTACGCCAAAACAATATAGAATAATATTGGGAAGGAAATTAATAATAATATGGAAAAATGAAAATGAATGGAAGAAAATGTTAGCCATGTGAATTTTTTATAGACTTTGAAAAATGGAAAAGAATCAATAAGCAGTATAAGAAAAAGAATCATTAAGATATTTACTATTAATCTTTTAGGAAAGCTTTTGTATAAAAAATAGAATAGAATTGGTTATTAATAATTTAGCCTTATTTTACTATTAATCTTTAAGAAAAATTCTGCTTAAAAAAATGTAATAGAATCGGTTATTAGTAAGTTAGCTTTATTTTACTATTAATCTTTAAGGAAGATTTTGCTTTAAAATAAAACAGAATCAATCTATCTATATATAATTAAAAACAAAAACATATCTATATCTATATCTATATTCTATATATATATAAAAGTAAAATCCTCCTTCTCAAATTTTCCCCCCAAAACTTAAGGGCATTTGTGTAATATTCAAATTTAATTAATTATATATACTTAAAAGGCAATTTAATAATATCAATATTATGAATTAATTAGGAATAAGATTAATTAGGAATATTAATATAATGTCTTGATTATGAATATCAATATAATGAATTGATTATGGCAATACCTTAAATAAATAAATACACTTTCCTTTTGAAAAATTTTACAATTTTATAATTATTATATTTTTCACCTATAAATACAATGAGTTTATACCTAAAAAAATTATAAGTATTCATTTTACATTGCATCACTCTTTTCCTTTGCAGGTGACTCTCTCATCACCGATTTATCAATGTAATATTAAAGGTACAATTTCTCTTCTAGCTATTTCTATCTTTGATTTCTCCGGGTTGATGCCCCTCTAGACCAGTTGTAGTTGCTCTGACTAAGCCAATGCAAAAAGGTATAATTTTTTTAGAAAAATATTTTTTTCGTCTTATTTTTGTCTATAATTGATCTTCCATAGTTTTTAATTATTGTTTTGTTTTTGAAATTTTTTATTATATGTATTTTGTCGTATTATTGGTTTGTTTAAAACAATAATTTTGTAATATTGTTTATATATTTTAGTTCCAGGCATGGTTTTTGTTATTTGTGCGATGCAATGGTTACGGAGTCATTAGGGGATACTACCCGAGTTCACTGTTTTTTTGGTCTATTTGTAGTTAAGAGAGAAGCGAAAGTTGCAGTCAACAAAGCCATCTGATGAAGGTGGTGGAAAGCGGTTCATCTTTACTTGATGAAGATATTTCTTCTGATTCTGAGAAAGAATTGAAGGCCAATAGATTAAAATATCTTTGTATGTGCATGCTTGAAAGCACCATTTAGTGTTTTTTGCTTTTATTGGCCTAAACTTGATGATTTCCTGTAATTAAATTCTTATAAAAATCAATGTTCTTATATTTTTTGTTTTTAGAGTATGGATTATTTGTGCCATTCAATATTTTTTTAAAATATTGTTTGTTGTGTTTTAAGTACTGATTTGAGTATCTGATGGTGTTTTTTTATTGTTCTCTTTGTGTTATGAAGAGAGAATTTTATTTTTTATTAATAGAATAGATTATCATATATTTGTATTATGGTAACATGTATTTAAAGCCTAATGAAATTAAAAATTTCTATACTGTTAATAAAAATAAAATTATCCTGTGTAGTTTCCAGCCCAAACATCTGTTAATAATATGGTTATTTCCCTTAAAAAAGAAAAATGGAAAACAATCGGTAGTATCAAGAACTTTTAAGAAAGATTGTGCAAAAATAATAGAACCAAATTGAATATTACTATTTAATCGCACAAATTTAATAATAATAAGCTTATTAAAATAATCTATAATTTATCATATATA